CAGGCGTTCTGCGCGGGCGGGGCCGCGGAGAGCGAAGAAAAATTACGCGCTTGGGAAAGAGGGGGATGGGGGGGTCTTCCAACCCCTTTAACTTGGAGGAGGAAGAAGTCGAGCCTCCTTCTAGGCTAATTCGCGCGGTCCTAACGCGGGGGGCGCTCGTATCGCTTCCCCGGGAGCAAGTTTTCCGCGACCATACGACGCTCCCCACGCAGTTCTGCTGCTCGGGGTCTAAACCCGCGTCCAATGCCATTGGCGGAGCTAGTCGCAACGGAAAAACAGCAAAGAACAACGCTGTAGGCCCGCGCTTATCCGCCAAACCGAGTTGCCAGTTGTCAGCTTCCGCCTCGCTCCACTGGCAAACTTGGTTATCTACTGGGGGCCTACCTTGGACCATGACCACAGATGCAGGGGTTTGTTGGGACCTTCGAATAATACTGCACAAAAACCATTTATAGTTTTTTGGTTAAAAATTGATGTGTGTTGTGTGGTGATTTGAGGCGAAATGGGTTGGAAACCCCGGAAAGTTTTCGGAAAAGTTAAAGAAAAACGGATTTTCCCCCGAAATTATCTAATTGATCAGTTCTGACACTGACAACTAATTCCTTTTTTTAGTATAATTAAAGTAATGGAGGAAACGGCGAGAGAAAGAGGTATAGAGACTACGCAAGCAAGTCTTTTTTGTTTTGTTTTTTTCAATGATTTTGGCGTGCCCAGACATGTTGGGGCTACGTGACAAATTTTCGTGGCTTCGTCTGCACGGCTCATCGTCGTGAGGTTAGCGGTCGTGCATCCTAATCTAACAAACCCCAGTATATAAGCAAACGTTCGCCAGTGTAGTCGAAACTTCTCGAGCAGAAAAATGAAGCTGTCCATCGCATACCTCGTTGCTGCCTGCCTGGTGTTGTGCATCACTTTTATGGTACGGAAATAGTAACATATAACCCGACTCCCGTAGTACGCGGCTGTTTCACTTTTAGGGTAAACCGGATGGCTACGTTAGAAAATCATTTTTTTACGCGTGTATAGTATAAGTACTGTAGCTTTTCTATGGCAGCGTCGTGGACTTTGATCCGATTTGCTTTTAATGAACGCCATAGACTACAGAGGCCGGTGTCGTCAAGCGCTCCCCGAGACCAGCCCCGGGGATGTTCAGCTGCTGCTTCAGGAAGCCCCCAGTGAAGGAATCGCCGTCATCGCATCACTCGTCGCAATCCCCCAAGATCCAGAGTCCGAAGAGTCCCGAAAAGCCCACACTGTGGACGAGGCGTACGGGCGAGCAGCTCCCGCACATCTTCTAATAAACTGGCACGAGTGACACGACGCACCCGTATCGTATTACTCCGCGTTGCCGTGAGTGTTTGCGGCGTCATTGTTAAAAATGGATTCGAACAGCCGTTAGAGGCCGCGACCTGCTCATGACCCACGAGCAAATAAATTGCACACTCTCCACAGAAGCCAGTCTATTTTTTTTGCAAAACTACAAACCACCCAAAAGAAACGTCAGACGTCAGACAGAAAAAGATCGACTGCTCAGCCGTTTTCCTCGACGTTTTGTGTATGGTCCGGGGGTGACATGGTAGTGTTTGTGTTGCGTCCCTTCAGATCACAGAGCAGCAGCAGAGGGGGTCCTCCTCCTTTCAGGTGGAGGAGTTGTTTCCCATCGAATAGAGGCCCGAACGACGACGCAGAGGGACTCTTCCCCCCTCGTTTATTGTTACCCCCACCCCATCAACCCCAACCCCAACCAAGGGGGGTTGCCGTCGTGGTCCACGATCCTCTATTGTTATTTGTCCAAGGCTCTGCTCCGTATAAACGTGTTTGCCCCGGCCGCTCCTTGAGACTCTGGCTCTCCACTACTACTTCTCTCCGTCGCACGGCGGCCGCAGAGACTGAGGCCTGGAAGGGCCGCGTAAGGTGGCTGTGTTTATGGCGCTCTGGAAGATCCGGGGGAGGCGGGGCGGGGCGGGACGGGGCGGGGATGGGACGCCCCGTTATCTCTCTCTCCAAGCAAAGCCCGGGGACGGTCAACAGAGAGGGGGAGGAATGAAAACGGGAATGACACCTTACGTGTTTTCATAAATAAGAGTTCACCCCACACTGAGGGGACGGAGCAGCGGGGGGGCTCAAGAAGTGTGACCGATGGCCGTGTGCTTGGGTTGGATGGAGGGAGGAGAGGGGGGAGGAGGGGTCACCGCAAAGATGACGAGAAGCGCTGGCTGGGGACGACCTCCTCGGGGACGACCCCCACCCCTCCCTGCACAGGCGGCGAGCGGGTGGATATCAGAGCATCTCGGAGCAACCCAGCCAGCTCCCTCCTCGCGACGACTGCTCTCGCTGACGCAGTATTCGCGCTATCGTCCGCGGGGGGTTTTGGATCCCCTTGGGAGCACTCTGCGGCCGTCACTGCTGTGTGGCTTCTTTGGTGGTAAACTGTGCGGTAATTATTGCTAGCAGCGCTGCGGGGGCGTCAAAGCACCAGTCTAGCGTGCTGCTGCTCAAAGTCGGGGGACTCGGGATCCCTTTGCAGAGCGCCCCTACCTACAACCCCCACCCACCTCGGCTCCCACTACCGACTTTTCGTCTCGTGGGTGCTGAATAACTAGGGTTATAGAAGCCCAGGGGAAAAATTCCCGAAAATTTGAGGAAAAAAATTGAAAATTTCTGGGAAAAATGGAAAATTTTCCTCACCTTGCAAGTCTTCCGTTATTTGCCGGAAATTGTCGGGAATTTTTCGGAAACTTTTCCGTAAATTTAGGAAGTTTTCGGAAACTTTCCGGTAAATTTTGGAAATTTTCAATCACATCAATAATCTATTCATTAACGCCCCTCGCCACACCGCTGCAATGACGTCGCTAGAGTGGCAGTTGTGATGAATTCGTTTTGTGCTTGGGTTTCAACTTGTCTCTCGAAACTTAAATTTATCAACCTTTAAGTGGTGGGATCATCAAGAAAGAAGAACGTCCGGGATCTTACGATATACTGCCAAATTTTCGCCCCATGCCAGAGCTCTCAGCGCCTGTTGGATAGGCAACATCTCGCCTTTCGTGCATGCGTGTACAGCGGGGTGGCCTACCCCGAGTTTCGCAGGCGCTAAGCTGTGGGTTCGCCTACGGTGCTTAAGGCACTTTAATGGCATGCGAAGCACTCTTTAAACGCCCCCCCCCCTCCGCGACGCCCAGACAGCCAGCCGGACACCATTCCCCTGGCGCACAAAAAGGTGTTTTGGTGTTTTCTGGTTTTGCTCTCAGTAGTTCTCTTTCTGCTTCTCGAGAGTTTAAGCATAGCTGTCACCTTAAACATTACACATGTATTCTTTATAATATTTAGGTGAAAGTATTTGAAGTAATCATCTGCTAAAAGCGTATTTAAGAGCGCTGCACGTATCATAGGGTCCGTAGTAGGGCGCCCGACCACAGCCCTTCCTTTTCCTTCCTTTAGCGTGCCACTCTGTCATTGTTGGGTGAAACACAATGCCCCGCCCGCCCCGCCCTCCTCAGTCATTGTGTAGGGGAAGTTCTTCTCTTGCTGCTACGCCTGCTGCGGGCGCCGGCGCCCTTCGGGAAAAGCCTCATTTCATTTTGTCGCTTAGGCCCCCGCAATCGGGCCCTATTGGCCCCCCTCCCCCGCCCGCCACCCCCCGGAGTGAGTGGCACGCACGTACGCCTTCGATGCAATACCCATACAAATTAGAGACGACATTTTTGGGGGGAAGAAGTAGAGGCACAAAACAATGGAAAATCTAGGGTTGGAAATTTCCCAAATTTTCCGGAGAATTTCCGAATAATTTCCGAAAATATACGGATAATAACGGAAAACTCATTTCCAAAATCTGGAAAATTTTTCAATTTTTCCCGGAAATTTTCCGTCTTTTCCAGACATTTTCCCTTAAATTTTCCGGAACCATTCCAGGGCTTCCAACCCTAGGAAAATCTCTTTAGCTTAGCACCCCCAGGAAAAGGCGCCATCGTTTTTTTTTTGAGCATGCAGAATCTTTTGTTTTATTGGCGATAATTGCTGTTCAACTGCAAAGCGGGCGATTGGCGGATTGGCGTATCATTCATTATTGGCT